AAGAACTTCAGCCTCTTAAATTCTGCTCTACCTGTTTACCTATGAATATAATCACTAACACTTTTAATTTAACTTTCCCCCTAAGGGTTTGCAAATTGACAGGTCTCATTGAAACAGAATCATATGGGAGAAATGAAAATATTCCAGATGCATTTAACAAAGAAAGGAAAATTCTTCGCGACTATGCTATTTAATATTTACCAGCTATTCTTGTGCTAATCTCAAATTTTGTACTTCTGTTTTTTTTAAAATTGTACAATCTCCAAAATTGGTCACCAGACTTTTGGCATTTTGTGGACAATTACAGAAGAGAACAAGAGAAAAATCAATATTTCAGAAAAGCACATTTTATATGATGCTCAGTCACATGAAACGAAAACAGTGACTGTTATATTATTGCATTTTATTTATTACACTTTGCAGATGCTGCGTAGTAGATTTGCATGTCTACATAACAAACTAATGAAAAGAAAAACCTTCATGACTGAAAAGTAATTATCTTTTCCTGATTAATAACATTCTATTCTGACTTTGAACCTCACAAACACAATGTCATTAAAACCAACCACATCCTACTATTATTTCTGCAGCTTTTCTACAGAAATAGAGGTTACAGTGGACGAATGCTTTAAAGCTGTGTTCTACTGCAGGCTAGAGGTGAACATTTCAAAATGATTCTTTAATATGATTGCTTGTAAGTGTGTTGCTTGCTGTAACTTTGACCTTAAAGAGGCCCTTTCATGTGAAAAAGCCCTTAAAGCAAAGCTCATACTCATAAAGAAGAGACTGGATACTTATCTCTCATGCCACTCAATGCTACTACAATGCTAGATGCAGAGAACTGGTCCCCCAGAGTCGGCAGAGAAACCTATACTTCTGAGAATGTCTGATATTTTGATCCCCTACCGTTCCCACCAGGGACGGACTGACAACTCATGGGGCCCCTGGGCAGTAAGAGATAATGGGGCCCCCTGTGCCCCCGCCTACACTCAAGCACACCCACACAACACCCTACCTACATATTGCAGCTCAGCTGCATAGGAGGGGCATTTAAATATTTACTGCAGCAAAGTCTGCATGAATGTTCCCGGCTTCTTTCTGTAGAAGCCACTGGGCACTTTCAGGTTTAAAGATGGCTGCCATGTGGGGGAAGTGAAAGAGAGAGGGGAGTGAGAGGGTGAAAAAGAGGAGGGGTGTGAGAGAGAGAGAGAAGGAGGAAGAGTGAGAGAGGAGGAGTATGTTTTAAATTGTGCTAACAAATTGGGCATTACTTTAAAGGGGTGTGGTTAAATAGTGTCTGAGATGACTTATATAGTGCAGAATGATGTAATGTTAAATAGGGAATGTACAGTGCGGAGTGTATGACAGTGGGTAGTATGTACAAAAGAGGAGTGCGGAGTGTATGGTGGTGGGTAGTATGTACAGGGAGAGGAGTGCGGAGCGTATGGCAGGGGGCGGTATGTACAGGGAGAGGAGTGCGGAGTGGATGGCAGTGGGTAGTTTGTACAGGGAGAGAAGTGTGGAGTGTATGGCGGGGGGCAGTATGTACAGGGAGAGGAGTGCAGAGTGTATGGCTGTGGGTAGTATGTACAGGGAGAGGAGTGTGGAGTGTATGGCGGGGGGCGGTATGTACAGGGAGAGGAGTGCGGAGTGTATGGCTGTGGGTAGTATGTACAGGGAGAGGAGTGTGGAGTGGATGGCGGTGGGTAGTGTGTACAGGGAGAGGAGTGCAGAGTGTATGGCAAGGGGGCGGTATGTAGAGGGAGAGGAGTGCGGAGTGGATGGCGGTGGGTAGTATGTAGAGGGAGAGGAGTGCGGAGTGTATGACGGTGGCTAATATGTACAGGAGAGGAGTGCGGAGTGTATGACGGTGGCTAATATGTACAGGAGAGGAGTGCGGGGTGTATGGCGGTGGGTAGTATGTACAGGAGAGGAGTGCGGAGTGTATGGCGGGGGGCGGTATGTACAGGGAGAGGAGTGCAGAGTGTATGGCGGTGGGCAGTATGTACAGGGAGAGGAGTGCGGAGTGTATGGCTGTGGGTAGTATGTACAGGGAGAGGAGTGCGGAGTGTATGGCGGTGGGTAGTATGTGTAGGATGGTGTCAGTAGGTGGTGTCAGTAGTTCTTCATTTTAATTATTTTATTTTTTTACAATTGTATTTTTTTTTTTACAAATTAATGTTTTATTATTTTTATCATTTTTTTTTCAAAATGCTTTTGGGTGGCCAGTGGATGGTGTTAGTAGAGCAATGGCGTGAGTGTAAAAATGTTTTAATTTTTATTATCTAATTTTGTAATTATTTGTTACAATTTATTTCTGTATTATTTTTTTCACAATGATTTTGTGGGGGCAGTGGACAGTGTCAGTAGGGAGTGAACAGGGAGCACTGTCCACCATACTGCCCCGAACTACATCACTGACCTAATATCCAAGTACTGCCCAGCACGCACACTCCGCTCCTCACAAGACCTTCTCTCTAGTTCCCTGGTCTTCCTCCAGTTCCTCCAGGACTTCTCCAGGTGTCACCCATCCTCTGGAACTCCCTGCCCCAACCCATCAGATTATCACCTACTCTCCTCTCCTTTAGGCGCACCCTGAAAACCCATCTCTTCAGGAAAGCCTACCCCACCCCCTGCTAACTTGCCGACCTCCTCCACTCTTCCTACCACTCCATTCCCCACAGCTATCTCCTCCTGTGCCACCATCCCCTCCCTCCTAGATTCTAAGCTCGAAAGAGCAGGGCCCTCAATCCCCTCATGTTTTGCATTGTATTGGTATTGTTCTGTCACATGTTCTGTCCCCCTTTGTAATGTACAGCGCTGAGCGAACTATTGGCGCTTTATAAATACTGTATAATAATAATAATAAATAGTGTATGTTGGGCTGTCATTAGATTGGGATGAATGAACAGAACCTGTACCCCCTTATATCTGAAGGAAGGGAATGGATTGAGGGAAGGAAGGAAGGAAGGAAGAAAGAAAGAAAGAAAGAAAGAAAAAAGGGAGGGAGGGAATGGATGGAGGAAGAAAGGGGAGGGAAGGAAGGAGGGGTGGGAGGAAAGAATGAATGAAGGGAGGGGATGGAGGATGGAAGGGAAAGAAGAAAAAGGGAGGGAGGGAGGGAGGGAGGGAGGGAGGGAATGGATGAAGGAAGGAAGGAAAGAAAATGGATGGATGGAGGAAGGAATGGTGGAAAAGGAGGGAAGGGAGGAAGTTAGGAAGGGAGGGAGGGATCAAATGGATGGAGGAAGAAAGGGGAGGAGAGGAAGGAAGGAAGGAAGGAAGGAAGGAAGGAAGGAAGGAAGGAAGGAAGGAAAGGGAGGTAATAGATGGAGGAAGGAAGGAAGGAAAGAAGGAAGGAAGGCAGGAAAGAAAGGGAGGGAATAGATGGAGGAAGGAAGAAAGGGGAGGGAAGGAAGGAAGGAAGGAAGGAAGGAAGGAAGGAAGGAAGGAAGGAAGGAAAGGGGGGGAATAGATGGAGGAAGGAAGGAAGGAAGGAAAGAAGGAAGGCAGGAAAGAAAGAAAGGGAGGGAATAGATGGAGGAAGGAAGAAAGGGGAGGGAAGGAAGGAAGGAAGGAAACAGCATGGATGGAATGAATGGAGGAAGGAAGGAAGGGGAGGGAAGGAAGGAGGGGTGGGAGGAAGGAAGGAAGGGAAGGAAGAAAAGAGAGGGAGGGAATGGATGGAGGAAGGAAGGAATGAAGGAAGGAAAGAAAATGGATGGATGAAGTAATGAAGGGGAAAGAAGGAGGGGAGGGAGGAAGGGAGGAAGAAAAAGGAGGGATGAAATAGAAGAGGAAGGAAGGAAAGAAGGGGAGGGAGGGAGAGTGAAAGGAAGGAAGGGAGAGAAGGAGGGAGGGAAGGAAGGAAAGAATGAAGGGAGGGGATAGAGGAAGGAAGAAAAGGGAGGGAGGGAATGGATGAAGGAAGGAAGGAAGGAAGGAAGGAAAGAAGGGAAGGAAGGAAGGAAGAAAAGGGAGGAGGGGATGGAGGAAAGGAAAGGGAGAGAGGGGGGGGGAGAGAGGGGGGGAGAGAGAAAGGGAGAGAGAGAGAGAGGGGGAGAGAGGGATAGAGAGAGAGAGACAGAGGGGAGAGGGAGAGAGGATGAATCACAGAGCTGCAGGCTGATCAGGACAGGGGAGGCAGAGCAGATGCTCTCTTCTCTGCTCTGCCTTGGAGGACAGGGGGGGGTGGACACTGTCAGAGAAGACAAAGCATCAAAGACCTGCAAGGGGGGGGGGGGTAAGGAGCACAGGGGGGGGGGCCCAGGAGGGAAATCCGATGCTCAGTCAGGGATGATCGGTGCAGTGGAGAGACAGTGAGAGCACCGATCTCCCTGCATGGATTTCAAGGAGGCCGCTGGAAATCTTTCAGTTGCTTCATTAAAATCCATGCAGCAGGGAGATCGGTGCTGCCACTGTCCCTCCCCTGCACCGATCATCTCCGACTTTGTTCCTGATACATATCATCCATGGTGGGGGGGGGGGGTGTGCAGCGTGTGTGCAGCAAACATCCCGCACCCATGGATGATATGCCTCTCACCTTCCCACTGCCCACCGGCTCCATCACCAGCACAGTGTCCTGACCCATCTCCCAACTCACTGTGCCCCCACCTGAAGTAACAGGTGAGCTACTTCTGGGTCGGGATCTGAGACTGCCTCCTCCTCCGCTTCCCACACTGTCACTGGACAGTGATCCTCTTGCGGGCCCCTTACTGACCCCGGGCCCTCGGGCAATGCCCGAATGGTCAGTCCGCCCCTGTTTCCCACTGATTCCTCACACTGATCTCTTTGTCACTGCAGAGGAGTACAGACATGGAAGTCTACCGGAGGAACCAGTGAGAACTGCGGGGGATCACAGAAATTGACACTTCCAGAAGTGTCAGTTTCCCAGAAGACTTTAGCCACTTTCCTGACCGCCCTATAGCAGATATACTGCTACAGGGTGGCAGGGGTGCACAAAATGACATATATATACTTTATTTTGTGTTTCCATTTTGTGACTCTCACCAGGTCCCCCGGCCGAGGATTTACCCCAGTAATTACTGGGCATCTCTGACTGGGAGGAGGACTGCTTTGTTTACTAACAGTCCTCCTCCCTGTCAGCTCAGGCACACTGCCCTGGATGGCTGTGCACAGCACAGCCATCCAGAGCAGTGTGATTACAGTAAAGCCCACACACACCGCCCCCCAGTAAAACACTCCCTGCACACAATTACCCTTTGATCGCCCCTCATGTTAACCCCTTCTTGCCCAGTGCCATTAGTACAGTGTCAGTGCTTTTTTTTTAGCACTGATTACTGTATTGGTGTCACTGGGGATGTCAGTAACACCAAGTCAGTTCCCCCCAGTGTCAGAATACCCGCCACAGTCCCGCAGCCCTGCTATAAGTCGATGATCACTGCCATTACTAGTAAACAAAAAAATTCCAGCATATATACCGCCATTTGTAAACACTATAACTTTCACATAAACCAATTAATTTACATGCATTGAGATTTTTTTTTAGCAACGCCATGTAGCAGAATACATTTTGGCCTAAATTTATGACGAAATTTGATTTTTAAAATCTTTTTACTGGACATGTTTAATAGAAAAAAAAGTAAAAAATAGTTTTTTCTCCAAATTGTTGCAAAAAAAAAAAAAAAGCACAGGAGATCAAATACAACCAAAAGAAAGCTCAATTTGTGGGGAAAAAAAGTATGGAAATTTCATTTAGGTGCAGCATTACATGACCGTGCAATTGCCAGTTAAAGTAACTCAGTGCCGAAACGCAAAAAATGGCCAGGTCAGGAAGGGGGGTAAATCCTCAGGAGAGCTAGTGGTTAAGGTAGCAGTTCTCTGCAACCGGGCAGCATTGAGTGAAAAGAGAGGTAAGTAGTTAGCCTCTTCTTTACAGCTATGTGCTGCGCTTTAAGGATTTTATTATGTAACAAAATCTCTTTAACACAAATGAATGGGCACATCTAATATTATTAGCTGATATTGCAGCTGTATAGAAGGCACACACCACCTGAGAAAGTTGCTGTTTACACAGCTATTCCAATGAACAGTTGGCAGTGCAGGAAGGTCACATCTATATGAATAATATATCTGCTGACAAATGTGCTTTATTATGGTAATGATCTTTCAAAAGTCATTTTCAATAACTCACTTTCATTAAAGTGGTTCTAAAGTCTAAATGTTTTTTTACCATAATGAATTCCCTGCATTAAGGTAATAACGCTCCACTTCCTGCTGATTTTAAGCACAATCATTCTATCAGGTTAAAATTATAAAAAGAAATTTCAAGTGTCTATAGTGTTATTTTGTATCCTGGTTATCTTTTCTCTCTATTATTATAGCTTATTAAACCAGTTAGACCTAATGTGTCAATAGTTGACCCATTATTTTTATTTTGCAGCTATTCAATACATTTTAAACACTTATAATGATAAACCTCAAAGGTATATGATAAGCCATATAATGACTTATTCTTTTTAAGTGATCCATTAGTAAGCTCAACTCTTCAAAAGAGCAAAGATCACCATTGAGGAGAGGAAAGTATCATTTTCTTTGCAGTCATTTTTTTTCTTTATTCTTTTAATAATGACAGAGTTGCTTTAAAATATGCCATAGGTTAAACAACCAACAGTGCAACAGGTGGTTTATTGGCATGTTATGCCTTGACCCTCCTACCATATGGCCTTATCTTCTCTACTGACAAATGAATCCATAAAATCATACCTCTATGGGAGGGATATGGTTGACTAGGGTCTCTCAAGTATCTAGCCAAACAACACAACACCTCCTTTTTTGCACATGGTTGTAGCATCAAACAGAGGTTATCATTCCTTGGGGCCAAATGCTCACTTCAATCGGCCACAGTACCTGCTCTGGACTAACCCTCCTGAGCACATTGGTTACAAGCCATATTTTTCTCAGTTCCTACTCCAAGTTGTCAAAAGGTCAATCACAGTATAGAGGTAAAAGGAGGGGGGTCCTCAACCCCTTTCCCTGGGTATTACATTGCACAAGCATGCACGGCACTAACTTTGGGAATGGGATACTGACTGTAAAGCAGAAGTGTTATTTGGCTGTGTGTAAAAAGTCGGGAAGGTATGGGGATGAGGTTCAGATTTGGAGCGGATATCCCAGTTTTGTAGTTTGTTAAAATTCCAAACTTAAGGCTGAAAATGTATCCTCAAACCCATGATGCAATACATAACCTTTGTAGGTGGTCAAATGATCACTAAGAGCCAATAATCTGAAGAAAAGGACAAGCAGACCCCCTCAGCAAAAGAGGTTGCACATCTTGTCAGTGTCTGTTGGAGCTGGTTGGGAAATGTTCACACATCTGTGTAAGGGTGAGAGAGCGTAGAGAGAGATGTTGTGTTATACAGTGCTATATACTGTGGATTGTGGTGGGCTATGAAATACTACAATAAGAAGCAGGCCTAAAATGAGAGGCAAAAGTGCTGCACGTTGTAGTAGTAGCGAGCAAAGCAGGTCCCGCAGGACATAGCAGTGTGTCCACTATCTGATAGTATTTCCTGATTACTGAATGGACACATATATGTTATCTCAGAGATAAAACTGCATACAATGCAATGTATAATTCATTAAGGCATGTGCAGTAGTAGCACACATTATTGCAGGATTTTGCATGTCCCAGATTTCCTGAGAGGCAATGGATGTCGCTGAGCCCAACAGAAGCATCGCAAGCGGGTCAAGGTGATTCGTTTTAAAATTCATCAAACCAGAATTTTGTAGCTACTATTTCAAACTAGAAACTGAACTCAAATGACTGAAGATTTTCTGTAACATAGGGAACATTAATTATGCTTGAGCATGTAACCTAAAAGATGTAAACTTTTGTCTGGAATTCGCTTCTAAATAATTGCAGTGCACTTCCCTGGTTTGTGAGTATGCCTAAGTGTACTCCTGAGTTGTATATCTGCAAATGTCAGATCTAAGGCATTGCTGCCTCTGTAAAGCCATTTCTTCTATCAAGGTGGCCACCTCCACACAGAGACACAGTATAGAACAAGCCATGATAAGTCATTAATGGGATAAGAGAGGTCATGGGCATATCGTTGGTGGCTATATTTTTCTAGGAAGGTGTTTGGTCGTTAAAATGGACACCACATACCAGTGACAGTAGTCATTGCACAGTTTCTTGAAAATAGACTTCACTGGTGCCACACATTCATACAAATTTATCATTACAAAATCGTAAAAATAAAAAATATATATTGTTATTAGAGATGAGCGAAAGTATTCAAAAATTCGATTGACTGATTCGGGGCGAATTCGTGGGAAAAATTTTCGATTCTGAAGACAATATATCGCTGTGAATTTAATTAAAAAAGGGTTTCTAGGCTTCAGAAGACTTAATATTAGGCTGAACACTGTACCTTTAATTTTAAAAGCCCCTTTGGGGTCTGCTGGGAAGAGAAATAATACTGTCAGGGAGTATGACATCGATGGGCCGTCAATCAGAATCACCGCACCTTCACTCTTTGGGGATCCGGGCCAAAACCCAGAGGTGGGGCACATGTGGGGTGGGCAGCAAATGGGAGGCCATACAGCACCCCATGCAAAAAGGAAAACCACCAGCAGTGTGGGAACCTGAAAAGTGGACATGGGAGAAGTGGCGATAGAGACAGCAGCAATGGGAAAGGCCCTACGGGGCCCCTGAAACACACTCTGGACCCCGGCAGCAGCAGAGGAGGCGGACAGGGGGCCCCTGCAGATTACGGGGTGGGAGCAGCATGAGGAGTCGGTACGGGGGCCCATGGCAGATTACGGGGGGCAGCAGCAATGGAGCCCTACAGGGGGCCCATGACAACTCTGGGCCTGGCAGCAGCTTTTGGGGGGCGGGACAGGGGCCCCTGACGATTACGGTGGCAGCAGCATGGGGAGTCGGGACGGGGGCCCCTGACACACTCTGGACCTGGGAGCAGCTGAGAGGCGTACAGGGCGATGACAGATTACGAGCCCGGGGAGCAGCAACTTTGGACGGAGGGGCCCCTTTCCCTTTGACGTCGGTGCGTGCTCGCAAATTTGTTCTTGGAAACGGATTCCAAAAAGACTGTGACGGAATCCGTGAAGAGGAGAGCGGAAAGGGGCATCTGAACGGGGGAATATGAACAAGCGAC